TTGAGCCTAACAGAGCTCTGTTGTTTAATATATGTATCTTACGTTAGCATTTGCCATCTCGCTTGCACTGAGAAATTAAATTTAGTATACTTTACGTTTTCTGCTGCTCTTTACACTTGTTATTTCATTGCATTCAAAGTTGTTAATTCAGGATGTACAAACAAATATTACACTTTTAAAGTTACTTTTAATGATGTTCTCATTAAACTGGTGGCAACGCAAAAAATGATTGTTAGTGTCCGTTGATTGGTTTGATGCAATTAAGATCAGTTACCTTAATTTATAACTATATAAGTATGTATGTATATGTATGTCTACATAGCATATAAATTGAAGCTTATTTGATAACTGTATGCACATTGGTTGCCCATCAATAGCATAGTAGATGTGGATCCTATGTCAGAAAACCGGCTGCGTCGCAATATATATGCAGTCCACACTAGACCGCAACAGCGAAACAGCAGCAGCAGCAGCAAAATAGCAACAACGCTAAAATCTCTGTCAAGGCATGATCTAACAGCTGTTATGAAAACAGAATCGAACCGCGAGTGGCCGGCATTCTCGTAATCAAGTCGTGAAAGCAACCAGCCCTAGCATCCGCTTCTCTCTCCCACAGACGCACACTTGCACCCACATTGACATACATACTTTATACACGCACCTACATATGTATATATAGATGAATAGGCGCATTAACAGAGCGTTGGCAATTGTTGTATACATGCATACCAAATTCTTTTTTCTAGCGCTTACAGATTGCTGAATGGTTTTCTGAAAAAATTTGTATACGATATGTTAAATATATGTACATATACATATACACATATAAGCTTGTGTGTTTATATATATGTGTATATAGTCTGTGTTTCATTTTATTTTTATTATCTTGTTTTTTTACTGCGCATGCAAAATGGCTGTGCAAAAGGAAAGCGAAACTTTTACGTGTGCACTGCAGTCGGTAGTTATGCCGCTGCTCTGTTACTCTGCTATGCATTTCAGCTGGCGTGAGTGTGTGTGTGCATATTGGAGAGTGCGCACTTCTAAAGATACGGTAAATGCAAAAGTATATCGTGTTCCTATTTGCCAATTTATGTGTGTTTATTAATGTATATGAGTATGTACATAAGTATATGCATAATAAACGCAAATGTACATATGAATAAATTAATCGCGCATGTAAGAATTTATTTAACTATACCGTTGGATAACAGTTACAGTTACAGGGGCCAATTAGCAGCTGCTAACCATTAGTCATAGGCGGAGTTTTAAAGCTGTGGGAGGGTGTCAGCGCAGTCTGTTCATAGGTCTGCGTCGCATCCCGCCAATTAATTTCCTATTTAATACCATTGTCTTGTGTTTTACATACTTTCATTTATAATGCGCTGCGCGCATACGTCAAGGCTGAACCGCTATAGAAATAATCTTAGCGTGCGTGCACACCTCTCGTTCTATCTTTCGGTCTCCTTCGCTGCTATATACTCACCACGCCACAGATTAAATATCTGAGTATACAAATGTATATAGTAATAGTATAATAGCACTTCTAGAGCATTTTCTTCATTACTCTTTGCTGTGTCGTAAGGTTGAGTGAAAAAAGCTGAGCTTGTCGTTGTTACTTAGGTTATTTATTATCAGTGGGCCATTTTTTTTACGATTTGTAGCTATTTCATTTCATTTTCATGTACTCTTCCCTGTTTGCATAATGTTTTTCTTTTTCTCCAAGTCACAGTTGCGTTTAGTGTTTACCTTTCGACTTGTTGTTATTAGATAAACACATACAACGAGATGCCAGACAAGTGCACAAGTCACAAACAAACACAAGCACGATCAAATTAATACGATTAATACTACACACCCACATGCATACAAATTCATGCAAAGGTATTGTAAAGGCATAGTAAGTTAGTATCACTCTAAAAACTTTATCTTGAATGTTAACTACGAACGGAATTTTGTCAAATGCTCTTAAACGATGAAAATAATATAAAATATTTATACCCTGAACCCATTGAAAATGGGGAATCAGGTTATAAGGGTTTTGTGATGGATACGAAGATTTTAGATACCACGCCCCCTTCCCCCACAATTAAAAAAAAAAAAATTATTTCAAGTACTTGAGACATGTGCTTTGGAATATACACACGACTAGAGACCTTTTTTATAATATTAAATTCTAATGGTAAGCACCATATAAATGACACAAGTCCTTTATTAATATTACCCATAGCTCAAATGGCAAATGGAAAGTTTTTGGCATGAGAAATACTCATTTATGTTTATCTAAATACTTAAATATACATAAATCGAGGGTACGTCAATAAAGCTGCTTCCTACACTTGCTACAGTGGCAGACACATCAAAATGATGAAAATATATACAGATTATGATTGACAGCTTAAAGCATAGAGACAGATAATCTACCTGAAGTAACTTCAAAAATCTTAGCAATGCTACACATAATCTTTTGCCGCCAGAAATATAATATTAAAGGGGCAAACATTATGATGAGAATTGATAGGAGAATTAATAATACTTTCCAATCCAACTTAATTTAATACAAATAAAGTAAACTTACTCAACACGAAAATAAGAATTAATTACGTATAAGCTGCAAAGAAAACATTTTAGAACAAGTAAGAAGACTAGTCGAGACTGCTCGACTAGTAGATACCCTGAACCCTATAATCTGATATTCTAATCAGTCTGCACTTCTTTTCGACACACATACATACACACGCACGTATTAGAACGCGCTCTGCTAACAGCGCAGTAAGCAGTGACTGCGCTTGGGCTGCGCTGTAGTGTTGGCAACATTATAAGAAGTTATTTGTTGAATAATTTAATTTCTAGACGTACAATCTTAAGGAAACTTTCAGGGCGTAATCATATGGTGAAAATGTATGTACATTCCAAAGCACTCTCTCTAGTACTTGAAATACGCCTTTTACAAAGGTGATGGTGAGGAGGTGGATATAGGGATGGGGGGTAAGTTACAACAAAAATCGAAATTATATAAAATACATATAAGTCTACATTTAAAATTTGCAATCTCTAGCTCTAAAGGTGTTGGAGATATACATAATTAAATAACTAGCTTTCGATAAGGTTTTTGATCTTAATATGCGCGTGATATACACGGACCTAGTTTCAATTCTCTAACTCTTATATCTTCTGAGATCGACGCGTTCATACACACGGACGGACAGACAGACGGACAGTGCCAAGCTCAGCTCTCTCGTCGCCCTGATCAAGAATATATATACTTTGTGGGGTCTGCCACGCCTCCTTCTACCTGTTACATACTTTTAACAAAACCATTATACCCTGATTTCCCATTTTCAATGGGTTCAGGGTATAAAAACGAAACTCAATCTGAAAATCATTGTATTGTTGGATTTTATAAACTACTTTACGATTTTATTTCATGCACTGTSTTTAAGAGAGATAACAGTGTCAAAGGTTCCTCATTGTGAAATGTGACGTCACACTGTCAAGTTAACAGACCGATTTGCGTAACATAGCATGACTTGGTTTTGGAAATGTGAAGAGCTAAGAGCAGGCATGTACTCACTCTGTTATAAACAGTAGATAGATTAATTAGCATAAAATCGTTGTGCTTATATGTCCATAGGTAATCTTATACGCTTTCTGAAACTGTATATTCGAAATTGAATAGTATACAAAAAATGAAAATAATGAAAAAAATGAAATGAAAATATTTGGTGTGTATTTAAATTAATTTCAAAGGACCTACCTGTTGGCAACCTTCCTACCCTTGATATAATGTAGGCTGCTTTCTTGCCCACATAATTTCAGTGTATAAAATTTCCATGTTTGCGATTTGAGTTACCTACCTAAAAAAATCTGTAAACAGATACCGTTTTTTAAATTTATTTTTTATTTTTGTATTTTGCACAAAAAGAGATAAAGCAACAACGAAATATCAGCAGCCTTCAATTTGTAGTGAATCGTGAGCGAAGGAGGAAGAGAGCGAGAGTGCGCAAATGAAACTCTGGCTATTGTTACCTACCTGCGCGGACTCGCCTCTGTCTCTGCCTCTACCTCTGTCTCTGTCTCTGCCTTTGCCTGTTGGTTGAATGTTTATTTCTTGCCAATTTCAGCAAATTCCATGCGACGTTCCATTTATTTCGCTCGATTTGCATTTCATTCTCTGCACACAAACATATTTCTTTATAGATATGAATGTAGTATGTGCTACGCCTGTTTGTGTGTGTGAGCACGTTTTTAATTTACATGTGTTTAAGTGTGAGCGCTCCATTCAATGGCGCAATAAACAGTTTGTACATTAGTAAGCTGCGGCGCTTGTCAAATGCAAACACGTCGATCCTAACAGAGCTCCAAAGCAGTATTACGAAATACTGGCAAGTGTTGATTTTTGTTTTTTGCTATACACTTGGCCCTATTCTATCTTATTTAAGCTTTGAAATTTGCCAGCCACAAATAAAAACTCGAAGAGAACAGCAAATGTTTCATTCTCGATAATGAACTCAAACCCCTGGAGATGTTGACGCTGGCGAGAAGCGGTTAACAAAACGCTAACTTTATAACGTTACTCGTTTTACCTGTTACTGTTGTTGCTGCTCTTTTTGTGCTTCTCTTCTTCACACTCTACGTTGCGTCCAGTCTTGGGGTATTGATTGTTTCAATACTATTTTATGCTGAGTTTATTGACATTTGCGTTTGCGCTTGCGCGACGATGACTACAAATAACAACACACTTTTTTTTTTTAATATTTGCCGAGCATACATAATTAAATTTGTCTTCTCACTCTTTTTCTCTCTCTATGTGCTTGTCTGCCATTATCATTTTACAGCTGCATGTTAATGCCATGTAAACGCTGGCACATTAGCATACAATGTTAAGAAAACAAACAAGCGAAAAGTGGCGCAAAAGTTGAATGTGCCAATTGCATAAATATAAAGTCAGAGAGCACTTGACTAATTGTTGCATTTTCTCTCCTTTACCATTTCTATTGCAGATGTGAAGAATCCCTAGGTGCTAATTTAGTTGATAAGCTCAAACAATAAGTACAATAAACGCAAACGAGAAACACTAGGCAAACTTTTCGACGGGGTGGCAACGTTTCTACCAGTATCTTTCGCGCTCCAAAGTATGCTACAGCAAAAAGCGAACGGACGCCGCGCTGCCATGCTAACGACGTAGCAGGAAAGAGGGAAACAAAATAAAAGACAAGCGAGAGAGAGAGTCAGGAGCAGGCGAGCGGGAGAGCTGGAGAGAGCGCAAGACAAAACTATTTTTGTAGTAACTGCTGGCAGAGAGCTGAAGAGCGGGAGAGGAGGAGAGAGGAGAGAAAGAGCACGCAACTGCGAAATGTCGAATTTCTTGATAACCACCGCCGCGCCCAAAACCCACAACAACAGCAATAGCAACAGCAACATCAACAGCAGCACCCAGCGACTGCATCAACTCTATGGAGTGGGGGGCAATCAGGTAGCGCGCAAGCTCAGCTACGAGCTGCTGGGCAACAACAACAATAATAATATTGTGATCAAAAACGAAAATCTGCTGGATATCCGCAGCGACAGCAGCAACAGCGGCGGCGTCGCTGCCCACCTGCGGGATCACGTGTACATAAGTCTGAATAAAGCTGGCGGCACAACAGCGCCGGCAACCGTTATAGCAGAAGCAACCAACACACATCAGAATCAGAATCAGCAGCAGCAGCAGCAGCAGCAGCGAAATAGCGGCGCAGCTGGCAAGGCGAACGATATCACACAATATTACAAGGTAATTAAATAGAACTTGTGATTGACGAAGTAGAGTTAGGCTGACTACTTACATTATCCAATTCATCGTAATTGCGCATCCTTTTTGCCACAGGTCAAGCGCCGACCGAACGTAACGACCCACGAGATCCACCCGAAGAAGCAGGCCAAGCAAAGCGCACAGCACCAGACAGTCACCTACAACAACAGCAGCAGCAGCAGCAAGCAGCAGCTGCGCTATCATCATCATCAGCAGCAGCAGCAGCAGCAGTACGAAATCGACCACGACGAGGAAGACGATGTGGAGACGAGCAAGTCGGCTGGCAACGGTACTTTGCATTCGCATTCGCATTCGCATTCGCATGTACTGTCGCAGCAGCAAACAGCGCTTGTGACATCGTCCTCGGCTTCGACTGGCGGCGGCAGTAGCAGTGGCGGAGGCGGCGATCGCAATCGTGCGGACACCTCGCTGGGCATATTGACCAAAAAGTTTGTGGATCTGTTGCAGGAGTCGCCGGACGGCGTAGTCGATCTGAACGATGCGTCCACCCGGCTGTCCGTGCAGAAGCGTCGCATCTACGACATAACGAACGTCCTCGAGGGCATTGGCATCTTGGAGAAGAAGTCCAAGAACAATATCCAATGGCGCGGCGGCCAGTCCCTGGTCAGCAGCGAACGATCTCGGCTCATCGAGACTGAGAGTGAGCGGCTGGAGCAGCGCGAGAACGAGCTCAACACCCTAATCGACCAGATGCGTGGCGAACTGGCCGAGATATCGCAGGAGGTGGAGAATGTTGGCGGCATGGCCTACGTAACGCAGAGCGATCTGCTCAACGTGGATCTCTTTAAAGATCAGATTGTGATTGTGATCAAAGCGCCGCCTGAAGCCAAACTTGTAGTAAGTCCTACACCTTAGACTTTAGTATAAACATGTAGCTGTGAGAGTGGAACAGAATCTAAGGTGTTAATCTCTTGTGAAGGGGCGAATCCTCCTTAGGTAGCCTTGTAATCTGAATCCTGTTCAGATGAATTCAGCAAATTGAAATTCTTGAAAATCCAACTCTATTGGGCTGATTTCAAATGAACTTAACCACGTTGATAACTTCCTATTTCTGTCGAACGGCGAGAAATCTATCTGTAGCTGATTCTCTAGTTTTTCTCGTCGCTTTTCGGGCGACGACGTCAGGCAATTGTGCTTCTTCTTTGCGTCTGCATGCCATTATAGATGGCGGCCTATTTTTAGACGTGCCTCTGACAGCGACAAGCGACGCACTGCAAAATTGAAGCAAATCTACTTTGCGCCTTCCCCCCGCGCGACTCTCTCCCGACTCCTGCTCATCATTCGCAGCTTCTCAGACCCCAGACGAGTCTCCCAATAGCTACAGCTGAGTGCTGCCTGCACATGTGCTTTCCTTTATTCAATCCGAAGCAAGAGCAAAGATTTTTCCATGCATATGTGTGTATGTGTGTATGTGTGTATGTGTGCGAGTACACGTCTCTGTAAGAAGCAGAAATCCCAACTGATTTTCCAATTGGATTTGGCATAGTCCCCTCTATCTGCCCGCCTGTCCGCCTTCTTGCGGTCTCTTAGCCACACACTATTTATAAATAATTCGCTTAATGTTTCCGCTTGCCTTGAACTGTTTAATGAACTCGCGGCCAACGCACGCACGCACGCACGAGCGCGGAAAACTTATGGAAAGGCTGAAGGCTGTTGCAATGGGGCACTACTGGAATGCCAGATATGTTGCGTGGTTAGGTGGCGCCAAAGCCAAATGCAAATTCATTTCATTTCTCTATTGTGGCTCCTATTATAACTATCAACTATTTTTCTTCCCTATGACAGCTGCCCAATACGAAGCTGCCGCGCGAGATTTACGTCAAGGCGGAGAATAGCGGGGAGATAAACGTGTTTCTTTGCCACGATAACTCTCCAGAGAACTCGCCAGTCGCAGGGGGCTCCGGCTATGGAGGTGCAGGGTCCCTGGGTAGCAACGGAATACGCACGGCAACGTCGACGCGACTGCAGCAGCGCATCGATCCTCTATTCAACAACATTGATGCCATGAGCACCAAGGGGCTGGGTAAGCTGGCGATCTAGTAGTCGAATGTCGATCGAGGAATCTAACGCTTTGTTCCATCCGTATGCAGGCTCTCCACCGTATCGCTTAGCAGCGCAGCGCAACCTCAGCAAATCCATTGAGGAAGCGGCAAAGCAATCCCAGCCTGATTTTAGTAATATTTGTGATATGGGCAGCGTCAAATCTGAGACGGCCTCACCGCAGCGCCAGCTTCAATGGCACACGACGCAAGCGAGCAGCAGCAATGCTGATAATGATGATGATAACGATGTCGATGACGAACTGAATCAGCTGGTGCCGACGCTCACCAGCCCAGTGGTGCGCAGTCAGCGGCACGGGCGCGCCATTCAGCAGATTCTAAACAGTCTCACACAATCCTCGTCTCCTACGAAGACGAACGCCGGCATGCCTCGCGGCGCGACAGCGCGGCTGTGGCGACGCCCCGCCAACGTCGCCGGCAACGCAACTACGCTTAATAGTCATAACCGATCCGTCAGCAGCATCAACCAGAACCACAATTCGCAGCCACAGGGCGGCACAGTTAATTACAGCAATCAGCAGCTGCAGCAGCGTCGTACCGACGTACCCATGTATAACTGTGCAATGGACGACGCGACTGCGTCAACGTATGCTGTTAGCGATAACAGCAGCAACAACACCCATAGCAGCGGCATTAGCAGTGGCAGCGGCAGCGGCAGCAGTAACTCCACTGCCATGGGCTCTCTGGACATGCAGTTCGCGGCAGTTGCCGGCAATATGCCAGCGACGACATATGGCGACATCTCTGGCGCTGGCGCCAACATGAATCAGCAGGAGCAATACAGCAGCAGCAACAACAAGGAAATTTATCGCGGCCTAACGCCTGCTGCTGTGGCCGACTGTGACGCCGACAGCGATGGCAGCAATGTGGCGCTTCAAGGTCTCGATGCGCTCCTAGGCGACTTTAGCAACTTTGGTAAGTCAGGTTCCATATCGGAAGTGTTGAATTGTTCCATAATATCTATTACGTAAGGTAATGTAAGTGTCATGCAGGCATCGAAACTTCCATTTAAGTCGATACATCTGTAGACACCATGTAAATAACAGACGCAAGTTTTACAGTGCCTATGTAAACGGTTCGAATTCGATTTGAAGCGCACTTAACAAGAACTTTTTCTGTGACCTGCGTGAATTCCTATATGCAAACCGCATCACAGTCTGAGTTCTTGCTTAGCGCGCACTTCGCACAGCAACATAAAAATCAAAATAAAACTATATATTTATAGCTATGTATGTATGTAATGCATATTTTCATATATATATATATATTTGCATATATATATGTATATATATTACAAACTGGAATTAATAAAAACTAAAGTGCTTTGTATATTTTAATTTCTATTGAATTTTCACAGCAGTATTTTGGCAGATACCAACCCAACAATACGAGAATCAGTTCAAAATTGAATTTTAACTTTGTTTTGTATCAATGTTTTATCATTTAACGGTTAAGTGAAATGTGTAATATAAATCATAAAATGAAAACAACAAATAACAAATATCAATTCCTGTGCGCGCGTTCTCTCACTCTAACATAATTCACACACACACACACGGATACATACATACATACATACACACTTACACACATACACACACACACACACACACACACACACACACACACACAAAATCATATACTTCATTTCACATTCAACTTTTGATGTGGGACAATTCAGCTGTTATGCCTACGCTGTTAGTTAACAGTGATTCCATAATACACATACACGAATACACACTTCATTTCACACATGACATACTGCTTTCGATGGGACCATCCAACACTTATACTTACGCTGTTAGTTAACAGTGACACTATGTTGATTTGAAATGAACATTGCATTGAGTACACTTATTTGCATATTTGAGATTATATGCTTCAAGTATAATATTTATGTATTCACATGCCGACAAATATCAATGGATACCATTAAAAAATTCATTTTGGAACTGAATTCTCGTGGGTCTGCAGTGCACTGTAACCGTTGCAGAGGGCAATTGTTCAAATTGAAATTGAAATTTTGTAGCACCATGAGATTCAGCTCTGGCGTGAGTTTCAAACATGCATTCACCAAAAAACGAAATTCAAGCAAAAAAAATAAAAAGAAAACAAAATAAATAAATAAATATATCATTTCCACTCAATTATCTTTTATTAATAATCATGTATATGTCTAGTAAAACAATTTTATTAATTACTTTCTCTCTCTCTATCTCTCCCTATGTATGAATATATTGATATTCATGTATTTATATACTTGCAGATTTCGATAAAGCTTTTGTATCCATCGATCCGCCAGATGATATTGAATATCCCTATGCTCTTAATGCCAACGAGGGTATCGATCAACTCTTCGACTTCAGCTCTGATGCCTACGGCACTGATAACTGTGAATGGAGAGATGCGGGGAAAAGGAGTGGGGAGGGGTGTTTATAATTCAAAATTATATACAAGAAAAGCAGCGCATATTACGTTAGAGATGATCTATTATTATTATTATTACAAATTACAAATTATCAAGTAAAAGAGAACAACAGCAAAACCTAAAAAAAAATTAAAAAACAAAAACAAAAAATGTAGAAAACTTAATGAAACGAAGTTGTGTGTAAAATTTTAAGCATTAAAACTACATTTAAATTTATAATCCAAACATGTATTTTAAGTTTAAAGAAATTTCCCCACAAAATGCAAAATACATTTTATAAGCATATTTCAATTCTTAGCATTAAACATCAATAAAAACAGGAACAACGCAAACAATAGCAAACACACAAAACACAAACACAAATCAATTTGGAGTAGAAGAAAAAGCTCAATAAAAGTTGTTTGCGTTCGAGCTGTCTGTAAAATAGGTACACACACAAATAATTTTAAATTAGTAAAACCAAATAGTTATAAAATTAATAATAACTGAAAATACATAACAGATTGAAAATTGTCATCATTAGCCATGCTAAATATTCCAAAAACAACAGAACACTAAGAGGAAGACCACAACGAGCCCGTATCTCTGTTACCCTCAAATAATTCCCAGTTTACGATCTGCATGCACCTCACAGCCAGGAATTATAATTGTTAAATCGAGTCACACAAGGGTGTGGGCAGCTGCGAAGAATTTATATGATTTCTATGTACTTGTTTTGTTAACTGTTTGCTGTTTGCCGTTTGCTGTTTACATATTCATATATATTTCACTAGCCATTTCAAGCTATAATCTGCCCCTTCAATTCACTCTGTGCGTTTGATTCAGTTCTCAAAGAAAAGTGTGCAGAATTACTTATTTGTTATTGTTATAAAAGTGTAAACTAGAAACTAAAAGCTTCAACTGACTCGACACTCGCAGTTAAACGAATATAGGAGCGACACCGCCTCGTACGCAAATAGCAATTCATAGTTCACCAATAAAGTTAAAAAGCCAAATCATCGCCCCACACAATTGAATCCAACAGATAACAGCCAATTGCAACTAGTAATTAATATCGATCACCTAGAGATAAACAAATTTACATAAGTGTATAGAAGCAAGATGACGATGAAGAAACCTCTATAAATATAATCTTATTTTATTAACAAACAAAAAACTTGTTAGGTACGTTTCTTTCGTGTCAAAACAGAATCAACAAAGAAAAAAAATAAATATTACAAAGCAAAAAAAAAAAAATTGATTATATTTACTATTTATTGGTTTGGGTGGCTGAGTTTTAATATTAGATAATTTCAGTTTCCCTTTGTACAGTATCAGGTCTAAGCTTCTCAATCTCAATAAGTTGGCAATTATTGTTAAACATTTACTGTATTATACAACACTTTCAGATAAATTTCAATGAAGAGCTTGCAAAACACAGATACTACAAGTGGGTCATATCTTAAAAAATATACTCTGAACTCATTGAAAATGGGAAATGGTTTTCTGTACAGTATGTAAAAGGCAGGAGAAGGCATCGCAGACCCCATAATGTATATATATGTATCAACGCCGAGATCTCCTAACATATAGGAGCTAGATACTTGAAATTTTGCATGCATACTCGTTTATACCATTAGAAGTACGAGTTTATTTTTTCGATAACTTATCCGATTTTTTTATGGAGGATGATTTTTAATATTATTGTACCTAGAGCTTTCAGATCTACGCTGTTTATACATATATACACAGATTTTGGATACCGCTCCCCCTTCGCCCACAATTCCAAATACTAGAGACTTGTGCTCTGGAATATACATAATTAGAAGATTATGATCATGTTCTAAAAGTTTCAAGATAGCCCCAATATAGGAGAAATTATTCAACAAATAAATTCTCATACTATTGCAACCTATGGGTTAATTTTGAAAACATGGAATAGTGTGTAAAGGTTTTATTAACAAAAGAACGCTGCATATAGTTCGTCGGCATTCCTTAGAAAGTCTAGGGCAACGAAAATGAGTATGTAAATCCAGCATTCCATATATAAAGTTCGAGTCAAATCTTTAGTGAAACAAGGGATTTTTTCATTTATGTATACTTATTTAATTTTTATTATAGTCTCGCAATAATATTTTCATTAGATCGTAATATGTGTAGATGTTTATTTCACTTATATAAACAGGAAACAATTAACTTAATTTTACATTTACAATTAGCTTTAGTTAGAAATAATAAAAATATTGAAGCTTTTTTTGTTTGTTTTGTTTTGTATTAATTTTTTATATAATAGAGTTTTTGTTTGGGTGTGGTACATCTATATACAAAAGCAGCCACGTGCACTGAACCGATGCTAACTATTGAGAAAATTAAAAATCTATATAAGTTCACACCTGGGCCGATACGACTGCCTATAGTTTTTTATTTTGCAAATTTCGCATATTCTTGTTATTTTTATTAAGCATCTGCAGTTCGAAATAAAATTGAGTTAATTCCACTATTCAATAATTTTTTATAATGCTTTCGGCTGCGTTTCATATATATGTAGATATATATTTATATTTAYGTTAATTAATTTATAATTCCATTAATTGTTTTTACGTTTTGTTTTCGCATTAAGTTTATAATCTTCGTTAGAAAGTTTGCTTTATTATGTACATAAAAACAAAAGGAACTATCTTTTTCAGTCTTTTAAGTGTGTGTATGTGTGTGTATATATGTGTGTTTCTGTGTGTGTGTGCATGTGCATGTGTGTGTGTGTATGTGTGTGTCTGTGGCCTATTTATGTAGAATATTCATCGTTTCTTCTGCGTGTAACAAATTGTTTCAATCAATTTAAATATTATGCATGCAGCTGTGTCCTTTGAAGCTTTCTATATATTTGTATAATTGTTTTAAATATTTTAAGTTACCTGGTATTATTTATCCATGCAAATATAAAATGTCAGTAAGAAAGAAACGTCGCTTGCGTTTTTCCTCTTTTTCTTTCATTCTTTGTATATACTCAGATATATATTATATAAAGAGCAAAGGCAAATATCGAATACTTTTGTTATTGTTGTTATAATATTTTGTTAAGCTTTCCTAGTTGCATTCTATTGCAGTTGTGGAAATTGTGTGTGTGTGTGTGTGTGTGCCTGTGAGTGTGTGTGTTGCATGTTTATTATTCTGCTTTCATACAAAGTCTCTTCTGACCTGAAGTCAGGCAACTACTGAGCGTACAGTGTTATTTATTTGTATACATGTATATATTATTAATATTTGTAGGTTTATTTGTAATTCGTCTATTGCTTTTCCATGTAATTTTTTTAGGTTTAATTTGGCTGTATAATTTGTCTATGATCCAAACGGAGAGTCTACTCTTAATAGTTCTCATTTGACTGCATTCAGTTTGTTCCTTGTTTCTTTAGCTACTTAATATGAGTGGATCTTACTAATATGTTTCCATGTCAACTTCATTCTACCTGTGTTTGTGTGTGGGCGTGGGTGTGGGTGTGAGCGTGACTGTGTGTTTTTTCTCAATAACTATGTTACAATAAAATGCGTCGCATAATATAAATATGTAAATTATGCAGCAGTTATTTAAGCTCTTAATTACGTAATTTGAAGCTTGGCTTCAACCCAAATTAATTTAGATTAAGAAGAAACACAATTTAGACCTCTCTCTTATCTCTGCCTCTCCTCTCGGTTATCTACCCATATCTTTCTAGCAAGGGAGTGCCATTCTCTGTAGCTCTGTACTCCTGTGTAATATAAAATTATTCTCTCTCAGCTCAAACTTTTGCCAGCTGCCAAGCGCTATGCATTAAATTAGCGAACGTTCTCTTCGATTTTCTTTTGTGTTTCATTTAGAGACGAATTTTTTATAAAACGAACACTTGAACATAAACTCACTAAAAAGTTGCAATACAAATGGCCATTAACAAAAAAATCGAAATAAAATTGTTTGAGTACATGTAAATTCTAGCTAGTGTTTTGTTGTTGTCTATAGTTGGTAATAATAACTAACTAATTTAAAGTTATTAACTCAGTGTTGATAGTTTGTTTGCTGTATTGCTTATTGTTGTTGCTGTTATGGTTTCTTTTTGTAGATGTACAGTTAGTTTGCTTCATTGTTGCATCGCTGCATGTTTTGCTTTGCGTAGATAGGTGCTAAACTAATTATTACAATTATACCATAAGTTAGGTAAGGTTTTTATGCATACGTATAGTATTTAAGTCTAGTTATAAACGGTACTTAGGTTGGTTGGTTGTTGGCTTTTGTACTTTTGTTATTTGCATTTAGGACTTTTGTTGATTTTTTGTTTTTGCTTTGTTTTTTGATTTTGTAGTATGTGTGTGTATGTCTGTTTGAACGGCGCTAGTAAATTATAAAAGAAATACTTAACAAATACGAATATATACAAAATTAAGCTTATAATAAATTATTAGGAGGCTTGGCTGTGGGCAAAAGTTCGCTGGCGGCCCTAATGCTAAGCATGATTTACACATGTTGGGGTGCATTGACCCATTAACGCCAACAGCGCAGTGGGGTGAGCTCTCTGCTCAAGCTGTGCGCGTTTGCTCTCGTACCCGATTCGAGTTGATTGCAAATATTTAGCAGCAGGCACACACAAGCCTTCCCCTCTTGTTCTGAGCTCCTCCGATCACCACATCCCTCCGTCCAAGACTAACATATCCTTATACTATTTGCTACATATAGATGTATGTATTTACAAAATTCTCTCGACACATGCGCTTTTTGTTTTACGCTTCGTGTCCTATGAAACCATTGGGTGGCTGTGGTCGTGTTGTGTTCGGCTGCCTTAACCAATTTTCCTTAAGTATATTGGATGTATTGGCGGTCGTCGCCGCAGCAGCAGCTGTTGCATACGCCGACGTCGACGTCGCCGTCGGTGCTGTTGTCGGTGTTTTGCGCGTCTGACTAACGCTGCGGCTGCGCGACGGCTGCTGCTGCGACTTGATGCGAGCGCGCTGCTTTGGTCGACTGAGCGGCATGCGCTCCATTTTAATGTGTTCCGTATGCTCATCATCTTCCTCTTCGTCCTCGTCGCTGAAATTATTAATATTAATATTAATCGAATCGAATCTAGAATATATATATATATATATAAAGCTTTTACTTGTCATTCTCGTCTTCATTGGAGCTACCAGATTCAATGTGCACCGGACTTATCGTAGATGCATAGATTGGATTCGCGCTGCTAATGACGTCATCCTGTCCAGATCCCGGCTTGGGTTCGCTCATCAGCATATAGTTGGGATTGTCGCTAAGCATGCTAAAGGGCGCTGCTGCCGCTTCTGCTGCGGGCGCCTGCATAAGCTCGTAGTTGGGATTCAG